ATGTATTTAATACGTCACTTATAATAGTACCTATGAAAACTTCACAATATTATTACTATTTTTGAAGAACTATGTGTAGGTACTTTTAATAAGTTTATATTATATTGTGGATGCCAGTTGTATTTGGTAAGCAAATTTATGGATATAAAGCACCTTAATAGTACTTAATCGAACCTAACCTATACATTTTTTTCCCTGCACACTCAAAATAAATAATATAGCTAAACGACTAAACCTGAAATTTGTATTAATGGGTTACCTTGTTCAAAATGGCACAATATACTTAATTCATATTTCTAAATTTTTCCACATCAATTTTAATTTATTATTATTATAAAATATATATTATTAAGTATTTCACTTCTTTCTCGATCACGACTAGAACAATCGTACTCTCGACGTACTAACTAAAATTGGTGGTAGAATTTCTACCATAGAATATCATTTCTACCGTAGAAAGTAAGTGACAAGGTTAAAAAGGCGGGTAAGTGGATGTCGCTCTGCTGTACTGTAGGTTACAAGTGGGTCACTGTATAATGGATGGTATTAAATTTGAATTTCAATGATATAATATCATTGTATAAGAAAAACGATTCTGAGCGGAGACGGTATGTCAGTCTAGGTATAAGACATATTATATACTTTTCTATGGTATTAAATTATATGGAATTTATGAATAAATTGCTTAAAATATGCACAGTCTTATCATGAGCATAATTTTTATTCTTTATACTATGGTAGATTGTATGGATAGGCCATAATATTTTGATTTTTCAGTTTCATATATCCCCGAATAATATTTTTAAATTACAACAAAAACAAAGATCGTTAATATTGATTTAAATATGTAATTTCGTCCAAATTTGAATTTAAAATGTCTGTAAAAAATAACTGTGTTCATATATTTTTTAGATTTTTTGGTTACAGTATGAACTATTTATGAGAACCTTTGTTTTAAATTTGCAATCGTTAGCTATAAAAACTGAACATTTTATAATTTATTAATTACAATGATTGATAATTTTCGAGATTTTGATAAATTTTGTAAAAATTCGATGTTTAAATGCTTATAAAAAAAAATATTGCCTATGTATTTTTAATATTTTTCAATTGCTATTGTAACAATATATCAGGAGCCTTGTATTAAATTTTTACACTTTTTGGCACAACAGATAAAACTTTATTGATATTTATAGAAAAAAAAAACTAAAAAAATTGAAAACTGAAAATGTCCGTAAACAGCTCAAAAAGAGTCGAAATATTTTCAAAATTGTACAGTGTATAGGAAATGCTAATCTGAACATTCAGTGAAATTTTAATGTATCTATAGTTATTCGTTTTTGAATTACAACTAAATAAGAAAATCGCTACGTGAGAAATCAAGTGAATATCCAATGTTGTAAAAATTTGAATTTCAAACGCTCATAAAAATTTAATATGATGTTCCGGTGGAGATTTTTTTATTGATAAAGGTAGACAATCTTATGAGTAATCTTGTATTAGATTTTCAAATCTTACATTTAAAAAGAAAAATTTTTACGAATTCTTAACTCAAAATAAAAAATGAAAAAATATAAAATATATATATAATATATTAATATATAACACTTAGGTATATCGGCGCTTATATTTATTGTTGGCAGGCCAAAGAAGGCGTTTATAAAAAATTTGGTGCAAATGTACACCCTGCACCCCCCCCCCCCCCAAATGACGCCCCTGGCACGCACAGTGACCTTTATGAAAGGAACTCTCTGGATGACCACTAATTGGACGGTATTACCAGGCCCGGATTAACACTATCGTTGGGCCTAGGCAGAGTACATTTAGTGCATAAACACTAATATGGGCCTGCAATGTCCAGTGTTAAAATGGTTAAAAAACCTGTTCGGGAGAGTAAGTGTCGAATCTTAGTGTTAATCCTTTAAAAACAAAAATCAAATTTAAACTTTTATTACTTTTTATATGATTTAACAGATCTTAAAAACCTTTTACTCCAAATATATACAATTAAATTATTAAAAACCAATGATGGGCATTAACGCGTGAGTTAAAAAGTTAAAGTTGAGTTAAAATTTTAAAAAGTTTATTTAATTTTAACTTTTTAACTTAACTTATCGATATTATTTATAATTATTATTTCCTAAAATACTTTAAACAGTTATAAATACCTACATAATATTTTACTTGTTGTGTTTACGTGTAGGTATACAATCGTACAGATTTATTTATAATAATAAAAATAAGAACATAAAATATTACAAAAAAATCGTAGTCACACATTTTATTTTCGTAGGCCCCAAAAAGTTCGTAGGCCCTAGGCACAGTGCCTATGCGCTAATACGGCCCTGGGTATTACGAGCGTCTTTTTCATTTAATTACTTGTTGCTTCCCGTGAATATGTCTTGGTTGTATTATATCAAAGGCCACCCCGCGCCGCTGTCGTACCTCTCTACCCCTCTCACCCACCGGCCGACGCTCCCGTTTCCTTTTCATAACGCTGCTCCCACGTCTAAAAGCCTCAGCTTTTATACACGCGAGCCTTTATTATTATCTCTATATACCGCACCGCCTTCTCCGTAATTTCGATTCGAAATTGGACACGCCGACTTACTACAGCGCACTACCCCTCCCCACCTAAAAATCCATGGCGATGACGCCCGTTATTCTTTTGCCGTTTTTTCTTTCGGCAACTACGTTTGTGGTGAAATGGGAACAAAAAATATATACCTATACACTCTGAATTTATATTCGATGTGACCTCGGCGGTAGTACAATATTGTAACGCATTGCTGCAACGTCGTGCACCTATTTTGGGAATACAAATAGTGGGCACTTAAAACTACAATGAATACCTGAGGGTGGGCCTAACAGTGGTTCATTACAGGGACATCCGAATATTGTTAATACTGAAGATAAGACTAATAAATATTTTGTATATTATATAAAAAAAAAAAAACACATCGTCCGGAAAAACTTCGGAAACGAGCGCTCCTATAGCTTACAACAACGTAAGACAAGGAAAATCAAATAGGTAGGTATACATGTTCATTTCGATATTACGATAATGAAAACCAATACTCAACAACCAATTACAAAATTATTAACTACAATGCCTATATTATATTCACAACATATTCGGATGTATGGTAACCATAGATAATATAAGAATGGATAGGACATAAGAACTTATCACATGAAAATTTAGTGATACTATTTTTAAGGTTATATAAGGCAAATATTGATATGATAACTGATAAATAATAATAAATAAAATTTATATAATTTCATTTTGTTAAAATATTATTTTCCAATTTCCATTTTCCAGGCACAGGTGGCACAACAATCAAAATACAAACTGACAAATATCTAAATATAACTGACTATCATATTATTATTATTATTATTTAATAAAATAGTTTTGCACATAACCTTAAAAAGCCTCATATAGTCTTTCTCTCTTTACGTTCTCTCTTCCCCAAAAAAGCACACGGCCTCATATGGAACTGGTATAGGCATGCCCTATCCATTCTTATATTATCTATGATGGTAACGTTCTAAAATTAAGCGCATCGGTGAATGGTAGCTGCGACATACAATTCGACTCGATGGATAAAAGGTTTATTATAATTCTATTACAGGCACCTCAGGCATTCATGCACAGGTAGTAAGTAACTTAAAATACCGGAAAAACACCGCCGCACCATCGGAGACGGATACTGGACCGTACATTGATGATCGCAGTGTCGCAATCCAATGTCGTCCATCGATCACCCGGCATCATGAACTCGACAGACAGCGACACGTCTACGCAGACTCGATGACAACACCTCCGGGACGTAACAATGGAAATCGACACATAGACTTCATCGTTGTTCAACCAATTACACTTGACTTTATTCCTGAAAAAAAATGTGCGGACAGTACATGGTGTTTGTATAGGTGTGTGCAGGGCCGGATTTAAACATTATGGGGCCCAGGGCAAAAATATTTTGGGGCCCTAAATGATCCATAACAAAAATTGCATACCTACCTAAACTTATTTCATGCGTAAAATATATTTATAGACTATAGTTACAACTAAAAATAACTATTTATGTTAAATAAATTGAACAAGTCATACAGTAATATATTATTTATTTTATTAATAAAAAAATATAATCTATGGCTAAAATGTATTTAATTAAATATATATATATTAATAAACTGTACCAAAATTTGTATTTATATTTTTAATAAAGAAAATAGTCAATTAAAAGTTAAGATTATTATTATAGTCATTAACCTATTATGTTTACATAGAAAATAGAATATTATAAATTGCATACTTTTCTTGATTTCTTTTCTGCAAAGTCATCTATAATATCATCAAATGACAGATTATCCAACACATCACTTTCAATGCTCATAACTGATAAAAAGTTCAAACGATCTTCATTCATTGTAGTTCGTAATCTATTTTTTATAATTTTCAATCTTGAAAGCGTGCGTGAAATGTGACTGTGTGCGTAGTAAATGATTATTAGTATGTGTACGTGTCTCGCACTACACGTCTTCACCCTGTAATACTCGCTTTACTTCTTATCTGCTAATTGACAAATAACTTTTTTTTTTTTTTTTTTTTTTTTTTTTTCAGTTTCAACCGACGGCGTCGCGGGAACAGCTTTCGCATTACTTCCGCGACGCCGCCATCGTTTATTGACAAAGACAAATATTTATACATACGTGGGGGGGTAGACGGGACAGTTCCCCGACTTACCCCCCCTCTATACATGACATATTAATAGCATAACATTTTTACATTTTACGGATGTTGAGACGTCACCTTTTGGCGGGCCGACCGGAGTCCGCCGCCCTAGTGCTCTCGTTCTCTCCGGTTGTCCAGCGATGCCGTGATCGTCCTCCCTCCCGTGGTGTCACAGGTGGGGGATGAAGGATCGGTGGTCGGTGACACCTCCGACGTGTCGCCGTTGCGGCTGCGATGTGTGTCTGCGATCCGTCCTTCATCGTTGTTCCTCCCGTTCGTCCTCCTCTTTGGCGGCCATAATCGCCTCGATCATGCCGGTGAGTTCGCGTCGGTTGGTCATTGCCTGCTCTAGTATCCTGAGTCTTGCCGCCGGATCATCTGGTAGATCGTCTGATCGGGGGCCGCAGAGGATTTCCTCGACATCGGCGGGACGTGGGGGCCGTCGGAGCAGCCTGACCAAGGTGGAGCGCTCGTCCTCCCACCTCGGGCAGTCGAACAGGGTGTGATCGGCGGTGTCGTCCGGGTGCATGCAGTAGCAGCAGTAGCTGTCCTCTGCTCTGTTGAACCTTAAGAGGTAGCTTCTGAAGCATCCGTGCGCGGTTAATGCCTGCGTGAGGTGATAGGTCAGGTCCATCGGGGGCTTGGTCAGCCAGCGGGCTACGTTGGGCAGTAGACGGTGGGTCCACCTGCGTCCGACGGCTCCGGGGGCGAGTGCGGCCCGATCCCATCTGGACTGCCAAGATGCGATTGAAATCTCCCTCTCGCGGGTCTTGACCGCCTGCTTCGTTCTGTGTTCGCCTGCGTCGCTCAGCCGATCGCTAACTCTTGCCCTCTCGTGTGCCAGGAGATCGGCCGGCAGCATGGAAGATAGGAGCGAAGATGCGTCGGCGGAGACGGTACGGTAAGCCCTTATGGTTCGCAGGGCGGTGGCGCGCTGGGCGCGGGCCATTGCGTTCCTGTTCTTGGCGCGCTTGACGCCGATTGTGGCCCAGACAGTAGAGGCGTAGAGTAGTTTGCTGTTTGTGACCGACCCCAGGAGTGCCCGTTTCGCCTGGGCCGGTCCACCTAGGTTGGGCATCAGCCTGCCGATGGCGTTGGCCGATTTGGTTGCCTTTTTTGACGCGTTCGCGATGTGCTCGGTGAAGGACAGCCGTGTGTCCAGCTGTACGCCGAGGTATCGTATGGACTTTTTCACTGGGACGGCGTGCCCGTCGACGAGTAGGGCTGGGTCGGTAAAGACGTACTTCCCGGTCAGGACGACGGCCTCGGTTTTTTGTGGCGCGACTGCGAGTCCGTTGTCGCGCATCCACGTGCTGACGGTTTGCAGCACCGGATTCAGGAGGGCGGTTGCGGTCGGGCCGGTCCGGGACGTTCCTACGACGGCCACGTCGTCGGCGAAGGCGAGCAGTTGCGCTCCGGGCGGCATATCGATGTCTAGCAGTTCGTCGTAGAACGCGTTCCACAGGGACGGTCCGAGGACCGAGCCCTGTGGGACTCCGCAGGTGGTCCTGCGTGCGGTTAACGCCTCGCCGACGAGAAGGGTTCTGTCTTGGAGATACGAGCGAACGGTCCGGTTTATGTAGGCGGGAACGTTTTTCCTTCTGAGGGCGGCGTCGATGCGCGGCCAGGGAACGGTGTTGAATGCGTTGCACACGTCGAGGGACACCGCCACGCAGAGGTCGCGATGTTGGGTGGCGCCGGAGGCGGCTCCTCGGGCGGCGGAGATGACCCTCTGGATGGCGTCCTCCGTTGACCGCCCGTGCCGGAACCCGTACTGATTTTCCGATCTTTGTCCGGTCAAGTCGAGATGTTGATTTAGCCTGGAGAGTAGGAGTCGTTCGAGCAGCTTGGCAGTTGAATTGAGCATGCACAAGGGTCTATAGCTGGACGGGGCGAGCGGTGGTTTGTCCGGGCCTTTGAGGAGGAGGACTAGTCTTGAAGCCTTCCATCGGACGGGGAATTCGTTCTCAGCGAGGCAGCGGTTAAAGGCGTCGAGGAATACCCGCGGCACGATTCTCGACACGCGGATCAGTACCTCGTTCGGTATGCCGTCGGGTCCGGAGGCTTTACCTGCCGGGAGCCGGCGACACGCCTCGCGCAGCTCTAGCGCGGTGAACGGGGGGGTTTGGCCGTCGTAGTTGAGGAGGGGCTCGGTGGCCCAGTCTGTGGCCGGTGGATCCGGGAATAGATGGTCCGCGATGGCTTCCTCCCTGCCGCGCGCCTCGACGCCCGGCCGCTTGTGGGAGAGCTTCTTTGTGACAACCCTGTAGGGGAGGCCCCAGGGGTCGTCATCGACGGCGCGACATAGTTCGGACCAGCTGTTGGCCTGTGCCGCTCGGACGGCGTCGCGTAGGGTCTTCCGCGTTTCGAAGTAGGCGGTGCGATAGGCGTCCGTCGTTTCGGCCGGGTCGCGCCTGCGGGCGGACCGTTGTGCGGCCCTTCTCGCCCTGATCGTGGAGCAGCGGAGCGCTGTCAAGTCGTTGGACCACCAGTGGACAGATCTTCTGCCCACTCTCGGGGTGGCCCTCGGAGGCATGCACGAGTCGCAAGCTGCTACTAGGTAGTCGGTGAGTTGGTCGGCTGCCTGTGCAGCGGTGGTGTGGTCGTCGACGACGGGTTGGGCTGTGTTTGCCAGGTGCGTCGCGAGCGCGGCGCGGTCGAGCTTGCGGTGCGACCAGCCGGCGGGGCGGTTGCGGTGTGCGTCGTCGTCGTCGTCGGGGTCCGGCGACGGGTGTATGGAGAAGTGTACGTATCTATGATCGCTGGCGGACTCTGCGTCGACCAGAACACTCCAGTTCGGTATGACGGCGGGAGAAGGTGATGTCTATGATCGACTCGGCGTTGATCCTCCTGTAGGTGGGCGTGTCGCCCGTGTTTTCGACGTTCATGCCGAGGCTCGCGGCGAGGTCAGCGAGCTGCTCGCCCCTTCGGTCGGCTCGGACCGAGCCCCACTCTAGCGACCAGGCGTTGAAGTCGCCGCAGACGACTAGGTGGGTCTGCCGGTCGCAGTCGCTGGCGGACCGGTGGACGTCGTCCAGGAAGGCGGCGTAATTGGCGGCGGTGTCGTTTCGCGAGTTGTAACAGCTGTACAGCCTCAGGCCCCGTCCCTGTATCCAGGCGAAGCCACGACCGGCGCCGCGTGCCTCGACGACGAAATCGGCTGCGGCGGTCAGGGCGACGGCGCAGGTGCCGTCATCGCTGCGGACCCAGCTGTCGTCGTTGGCGGGATGCCAATTCGGTTCGGAGACGGCGAGGACGTGTGCTCCCGTCTGTGCCGACGTCTGCTGGAGTAGGCTCTGCGCGGTGGCGCTCCTTTGTAAATTGATTTGGATGACGTTAATCATGCTCGGTATCTGGTGGCGTTCATCTCTGAGATGGCAATCCGGCGGGCGGCGCAAGCCCCGGAACCGGGCTTGTGCGGTACGCGTGGCGCCTTGATGCGGTCGCAGGCTACGCACAGTTCGGTACCCTCGGTGCATATATTCTCCGTGTGTCCGCTCTTGCCGCATCTCCTGCACGCGTGTGAGAGGTCAGGCCCGGAGCACTGCCGCGTGCCGTGGCCGTAGCCGTGGCACCGGTAGCACTTGGCTGGCTCCGGTCTGCGCGGGCGGACCCGGCACTGTGTCCAGCCGACGCGGACAGAGGTCAGCCTCTGACTTACGGCGATTGGGACGGTGGCGGTGGCCATTTGTCGGCTGTCCCGCGTGGCCCACAGGCCGGTGATTCTGACTTCGTCTGACGAGAGGGGTTGGTCGTCCGGTGCGCCCTTAATGATCGCTGCGAGGACCTCCTCCCTGGTGGCGACCTCGTCGAGGTCGGTAATTTCAATGTCAGCGGTGTGCCGGAGCCTGGTGACAGTGGAGCCCGCGATGCTCTCGGCCAGCCTGTCCCGGATGGTTGCGGTGGCTGCCGTGGCCTTGGCGCCCTTGGTGAGTTCGACGAGCAAGTCGCCCTTGAGAGTTTTCCTCATGGAGGTGACGTGGGTGCCGAGGCCTTCGAAGTCTATCGGTGTGCCCCTGACTTGTCGCAGCGTGTCCGCGTAGGTCCGGCCTTCGCCGACCTTGATCAGGACGGCTGCGGGTCTCTGTGTCGTTTTCCTGGTCGACAGAGGTCTGGATCCGTTTGTGTTCTTCTTCTGGTTCCTCACCAGCGTGAAGGCCGCTTCGGGCTCGGGTAGTGTTTTTTCCGGTTGAGAGTTTGCCTCGGAAGGCTGAGTCGTTTTGGCCTGCGCGGGGGGGTTGGCCATGGGGGTCCTTGCGTCCAGCTTGGATTTTTGGTTATTCCTCCTTCGACGACCGTTGCCGTTGGCCGTTTGGCCGGTTTTTCCGGCGGGCTGGGAGGAAGTCGTGGGCTTCGGTGCGTTGGCGGCAGGAATGTCGATGTTGGGATCGGTGGCGGTGGAGGCATCTTTTTGGCCGGGTGGCGGCCGTTGGTCCTTGTCGAGCAGTTTCAGAGCTTTGCAAACTTGCTCGAGTGCTCTGGTGACTTTTGACAGGCAGGGGCCGATGTAATCCTCGGAGTAGAACTCGTCCGCGAGGCTCTGTACGAGATCACAGGCATATTCCGTGGCTCTGGTGGCTGCGATGAGCGCGTTGCCGGAGTCTGAGGTGGTCGGTGTTTTGGTTGTTGTCGAAGTAGCGGTGTTGGGCGTCTTCTTCTTCTTCGTCTTCTGGACCTGGGAGTCTGCGGCCGGGGAGCTGGCTTGCTTCCTCTTGTGATGAGGGCCGTGGTCGGAGAAGGCGTCCATTTCCCAGTCGTCTGGGACTGAGGACGGCATGGCTGGCTATCCTGAAAAAACGGGGTCGCGAGGGCCAAGGGGAAAGAAAGAGAGGAAAAAAAAAAAAATTGACAAATAACTACATCAATGTATAGTAATACATAATAATAATCATTGCATATAAAATAACAATACGCACATAATGTATATTAATTTATTAAATATTTCTGAAAACTGATTTGAATCCGTTATTATGTATGTCTACTAGAGATCGGTCAGTCAACATTTTAAAAATTCTGAATTCCGAATAATTAATATTCAAATTCAGAAATTTCAAAATATTCAAATTAAATTATAGTTGTTGTTGGGGGAGGTGGTAAAATTGGGAAAAGTGGACTGACCGTTCTCAATTAGATATAATAACGAATTCAAATCAGTTTTCAGAAATATTTTTGCATTATTAGGTCGATCGGTAGAATGGTCAAAAGATAGGTATGTTTTGACTAAAATAACTGCACGTCACCGATCCCCTTAATATCCATTCTCTAATTATTATAATAAATTTATAAATATAAATTTATATATAAATATTTTCTACTTCGTATAGATTATTAAAATTATTTAATTTTAAATTTATTATAAATATTACTTACTTAAACAATTGAACAGTACAGGTTCATGAGTATTCTTGGCTGATCATAATGAAGTAATGAGATTTAGTCGAAAAGTGGAATGTACAAAATAATAAATAATTCACAATAAAGGCATAAACGCTATAAACAGAGATAAGCCGATAACGATTATAGACGTCTTGAATTTTCCAACATTTTACATTGTGATTTGTGACAGATTACATTATGATTTTTATATATACTCGTATAAACATAGGCATGTAATTATATAACCCGCAACTTTACGTCACCGTGATAATGCAATAACAACAACTGTAGTATACTACTACAGTCATTACCCCATAATGTTTAAATCCGGCCCTGTACTGTAGTACAATTTAATTTATATTTTATACCTAATTCATTTTTATTTTCAAAACTATATTTTTTTTAAAAATATAGTTTGAGAACCCAAAATTTGGGTTCCAAATTGCAATTTTATTTTTTTAATTTTTTAATTTTTTTTTTTTTCATTTCTGATTTGAGTCTCGGGGGCCCCTAAAACTTGGGGGCCCGGGGCATATGCCCTTAATGCCCCCCGTCAAATCCGGCCCTGGGTGTGTGGACAAACTGTCTCAAAAAAAAATCATCATAATGCGTATAATATGTGCATACGACATAATAACGTATTGCATATGTATCCGTACACTACAGTCTGGCTCGTAAACATTCATATCAGACCGGTATATTGCCAATTGCCAATGGCCGGCATATAACGTAGGTAATTATAACAGCGACGCATAATAAATATTGGAATGATAAAGTCTTGGAGCCGTAACAATATCGACTATTATAGTAATGTTGTTATTGTTGTTATATTAGGTATCGTATCATCTTGCCTATTATAATGATCGGTCCGTCACGCCGCCGCGCGCTATCAGACTTCGCGTTCACACCTCTTAATTGACCAGTTACATCATAATTGCCCATCAACGTTCCGACAATGATACTGTGCGGTCGCGGCTCATTACATAACACAATAATTGTTATCCCTATACAGGTATTTATACTCAGCGACGTATTTCCTATCACACGTAATATTGTAGACGATACTCGCGACAAATGTCTAAACTAAGAAACGAATTGACGGTCAAGAAAATTCGGAATTCATCCTGGCAAGGTCGCCACTCTGTAACGCTTTGGTTACTGACGCCCGGCAATATATTATTGTAGGTCGCCAACCTATGACCCGTAAAACACCATACTGGTGAAGGAGGCCTTAGGATTTTTTAAAAAAAATCGGGTAAAACGAAGCAAACGTTGAGTTAATCAACTGGGGAAATTTATTTAAGTTTTTTAGTGGAGAAAGCTCACTGGCGTAAAACTCCAACAACAGAAAATTAACAAAAAAATAATAACAATTTCGACGGGAGCCTTCGTCACCCCGTGATATACACACACCACATTACCAATGTATAAATATACAGATAATGACAATTGACATTAATAATAATAATAATAATAATAATCATAATCATA